GCGAAGAAAACACTACACTTCACCATTACAAATATCAACTGGTTTGTGTCGTTTAGGGAATTAATATTTGTTTACAGTGTTAATTATACGGAACACATAAATGTAGACTTTGAGTTGTGTTTAAAATGTGGAGCGCTTTCAAGAGATGCGATTATTCGCGTTACTGTTTGTCTCCACGAGGTAAACATTTATGTTTATGATTTCAAAATATAGCAATTCATAATCTGCGTGTAGCACGCAGGGGAGAAGTTAAATATGTAGACAAAATTTTGTTAGAGAAATCTGAAGGGAAGAGGACGATGTTCTTCTGGGTTACGACGCTGTTTAGACTTGTAAGTAGATGCCAACGTATGGAATGAACATTCCGTCTTCATCTTCAGGGCTGAAACACGTCAGAATCACAACCCAGAAGGAGATAAACAAAATCCTTACCTCCCTGAAGAATCTTAAATGTCTTAAGGGAAGAGATCACTTGGTAGACCAAGGTATAGATGGGGAGGATAATATTAAATTTGATCTTAAAGAAAATATGGCATGAAGGTATGGATTGGATAGGTTCCGATGGTGGGATTTCATGAACCGATAGTTCAGAAACTGAAACGTAATTTTATTCACATTTGTGTAGATTTACCGTTTAGAGTTTCTGGACTCTGTCAAAACTGTAACTGTAACTGTTGTCCTTGATGTCGAAATCAAACACAAAACGCGTGGATTAAAATTATATGTAGCTTCGTAATGAAGATAATGTAATAAGGGAAAACAGATAAAAGACGGGTGAAGTGGAATGTGTTAGTATATTTTAATCCATCTAAAACTTAGAAATATTCTACTTCGCCTCATTTACAAGTCTCTTTGCATTATTACCAAATTAAATAAATGTCAAATTTTCAATAGGCACGAACTAACTAACCAACCAGATGGCTTACGGAACCCTAAGGTTCATCACCGAATCAACCAAAGCCCTCCACCGGACCCTGTCCTGGGCCAACAAAATCCAGTCTCCTTCAACTCCTATCTCCCATAGATCCCGCCTGAGATTATCCTCCCATCTACGTCTAGATCTCCCCAGAGGTCTCTTCCCCTCAGGCTTCCCAAATAGTGGACCCAACCAAACAGATGGCTTACAGAACCCGAAGGTTCATCACCAAA